CGCCAAACTTAGCATAGAAAAGGTGTTTTCGATATTTCAGATAATCACAAACAGAAAGAAAAACGTTCGTTAAAAAATGGTAAGGTAAAGTTGTCGCTGTTACTTTCCGGTTGTTTTTTATCAGAAAGCCGCTCGAAATAGCACTAAAACCTAACTCATAGCTTGTTCTCATTCGAGGGCCATGTAGATGGGACGAAGCCTTCTATTGGTTTTTGCATTTTCATGCCGAAATATCGGCGTTCCATGTATAGAGAGAGATACGCAATTACGCTTTGACCCACTTCGTTGTGATCCATCGACTGGCGTCAAGGAACCATCATGCCAAGATTTAGCCTTCTAGAAAGACACTTTGAGCCTGAAAACTGACCTTTAGGCGTAAGAGTATATACGGCAATTGAATATGAGAGCTTTTCTAATTGGTAACTAATTACTACCATATAAACATTCGGGTATTATTTTGTTACTAGAAAAATTTTCGCGGAAACCCTATTGAATCATAGGCCCTAATCTCAGCCCTTACGACCTTCTCATGAATCTGTGTAAAAGAACACGGCTATATCATATATGCTGCAGATATGTCATTATATGCCTTATTCAGTTAATCCGTTAGCCGTCCTTTTATACTAATGTTCTAACAGTCCTGCCTCTTCGATATTAATACTTTCACCGTGTTCTAATTTTTGATTCTTGTTATGCTAAGCCTGCAGTCCTATTGTATTATTTCTCTTACGGTGCTGCACTCGTTTGGCTACAATTATCATTTCTCCTCGATGATTTACTCTGCGTACGTGTCTGCCTTACATTGCAGTCATAGAATAACAAGGAAAAATACATGCAGTAACATTTATCGGAAATTGCTCAAGCACTACAATGCGAAAGCCACGTTCCTAGTAGAGTGCTTGAGTAACTTTGCCACTTTAATCCAACTTACAACATGTATCTTTTCTTGAAGGAACAAGTTTAATAAGCTAACTGTAAAATGTAAGTTCACACAAATTTCACAGTATTTGTATATGTAGAGGTAATCATGCGGCGTTAGTCTGAGGTCCTGTGCCCCTCTACAGTGATTTCCTTCATTGATAAAATATTAATTTAGTTTAAGCAAAACGTGAATCGTATCAAAACCGAGATGGTTCCTACTTCATCAACCATCCACAAACTATCCAAAATAGCATTTTGTCCCTTCATATATTTGAATAGATATTTATTATATAGAAAATTTATTATATAAATTTTCTTCGTAGAAAAGGCATTCGCATTTATTTATATTAAAGAATATGAACTGCCACGATTAAGATTGCATTCATCATGAGCTACCTGGATCCCTTCTAATTAAAGAAAAAATAAGTTCGAAAAACCGAACTACTTTTAAAACTTTATTCTTATCCAAATTAAGTTTACGCTATATGCGGGAAGAATAAAACGGGACTCTTCTGTATTTTTTGTGGGATGAAGTATTCACCCAATTACACAATATAAAGCAGATGTAGGTTTGACCAACTATTTTGCAAATCAATCAAATTAGCGGTATTGCTCTTGAAAGAGTGAAACTGCCCCCCCCCCCCCCAAAAAAAAAACACCTCATAAATTAACTGATGTGCTTTATTATTTCACCGATTATGAGCTATTTGTTTTTATTTATTTATGGCTAAAATGTAGTTTTTCCAAATTTTCCCAAGAAATTAATTTTGCTGCTGTTGTACCTAATATGAGAATTAATTTGAGAAATGATCGTGTATATTATCAGGTAGCGTCCTTGAGTCATCGGGCTCCATCCCTGATCTTTTGGCTGATAAATGTATAAGGTCTATGCTTGGGGCTGTTCATAATGACAAAAAATCTTTTTTTCATTGTTCTTAAGCTTTCAAGGCGTATGTTTTCAAAAGTCTATACGCGACTAAGAGCAGTGCATAATTGACTAAAAAAAAAAAAAAGGAGAGATGAGTACATCGCTTACGATCGCTTAATTCATGTGCAGCATCCAATGATTTTTTTGTAAATCCATAGTGATTCAACTGAATTTGCCTTTGTTGTTTTTGTGACAGAAGTGCTACGATTCTATGATTAACTGCGTTTTGTATAATTTACAAAAGATTGTATGTTTCTCAGAAGGCTGGCGCTCGCCAGTGACGCCGGAAATCAAAAGATCAATGTCATCTTCATCAAATGTCTTCGAAAGCAAAAAGAATAGTACGTTACCCGAGTGTAAATCGTCAATATCTGAAGGCTACTTTTTTACAGAAGGAACTGCCATTTTTCCAACGTTCGTCTGATGATAGAAGACATGTATACGCTTCGAGAGAAAGTAGAGATCGCTAGAAAAAGGATGCTCCGCAGTGATTCTTCGAACCATAGGAAAAAATTAGCGCATTTTTATCCCGTACGTTTTCCTTTTTGTTATCTAAATAAACCACGGTTCTAGGGCGACTAAATTTTCGTTCACCTTTGTGCTTCGAACACTATGTACATACAAGACTCTTTTGCAACAACCGAAGTTCATTCCAGTAGCCCTTGTAAAATTCCATAAACCTTCACAACTATAACTTGAACGCGTAAGAAACGTGTACACATGCTATGTTTTAGAACCTTTTTTGCATTAAAGCACGAGAGTCTGAGTCTTGGATGCCTCTAATGGCTATGAGCGACAAGTTTATGATATTAGCACAGTTTGTATTATACACCTGCCAAGATCCCCTGTGCCGTGCGAAGCCTTTAAGATGTAATGGGTGCTACAAAAACCCCTCTTATGCTGCATGCAAGAGGAAAAAGCGATGCATCCTCCACAGCGTTACTACATAAATCCGAGGCACATTCTGGACGAGGCAGCAGTGTATGGTGCAGGGACGAAGCCCCCTAAGGTAGCCGTACGTATCAAAAAGCTTACGTACGACGAACTACTACCATTGTCATGCAGGTAGCTGCTATTATGGTCCATTGCATCAGTAGTATTTCGTTATACAGAAAACCGAGAAACCGAAAGTAGATTAACAATGAATACTCTTTTTTTACTATTATTGAATAGTTCGGTTGCTTCATTTAGATGAGCAATTACCTATATATATATATATATAGGTATTTCCGTCTTAATGACCTGTTCAAATATGCAGTAATTTGTGGAAGGTCAACGGATCGCTTAATGTTAGACGTCAAATGGATTAAATCCTATTGCACACAAACAAACGTCTGTACTCCTACTCTATTTCGGGTTCCTCGTTCGTCCCGTCCACGCCGGCAACTGAACATGTAAACAAGCAATATTCAAATAGATATAAACGTTATTTTACGTGCCCTGCACAAGATTACACGGCAACGGAATCGGTCCGCTGATGATTGCCGGGCAATTTAGTCCACTTAGTAGCCTAACAGTCAGTTGTCTATTTCGTTGATGTTGTGATAGCAGCCTTAGTTCCGTTTTTTTTTTTGTTTTCCGTTATTACAAGAGCCCTCCGATAGTTTAAATGTATCAGACTAGTCGTGATTCAGCTATTCACTTTCACGATAAGGTTTTGTAAAAGAAAAAAATATGTGAAATCTTATTAAACCGACCCGTACTGACTTGCTACTAACCATAAGATTACAAATTAAATCATCTATTATAGGCATGGAATAGTCTCCGCGCTGCTTCTCTCTTTTGAGGTATGAGTACTTGAACTCCCATTGAAATTCAGGGAGCTCGTACCCTGAATCGCTTCCCTTATTGTACTAGTTGCCACTTGGGCCTACAGGCGTTCCAAGCGGGGTTCCCCATAATTTGCAAGCTAACGCTGCAATTGCCGAAGTCTTCCTCGTTCCGTATATTACCGGACTTGCAATTTGCGAATAGTCGAGCCAACAAGCTACCTGCAGATTTGAGAAAACTAACAGTTTAATTTACTGTACAGGTTAAAAGTTCTATCGGTGTTAAGGCGATAGTCGAACAGTATTTATATACCGTACACGATTTCGTCCATCCCACAAGGCTGGCGTAAAGTTGCAATATGCCGTTCCGTCTTCGTCGAGTCCTGTGCTATACCTTGAATACTAAAAAAACTACTCATTGCAATATCAAGTAAATATATATATATAGAAAAATAATTTTATGACGTTATTGGATCCATTAAAATATAGCAGAGGTATAAATATAATATTGCGGGGAAATGCAGAAAGACAGTAGATCTACTATCTTTGTGAAAGAAAGAATCTTCCTACAATATTGTGTTTGTACTTCTTCTACATGTTCATACGTTTGATAACATCGCCAAATAGTTCTCTATTTATTCGTAATCTATTCATTATTTCCAAGTAATTACATCCTGAAAATGTTTGTCATGATCGATCATTCGTATTTTTTCATTTATAAACATCGGATCCTGACATTTTCGATGAAAATATTTTCACGAATAATTGCTACCGTCAATCTCTGATCGGCATTGCAAGTTATGAACTTCAGAACGGCGCTTGGATTGTTGCTTGTGGACTTCCCTTGTAGTAGATCGAATAAGACCATTAAGAGCAACACAAACGAAATTTTTTAATTAGTGAGTAAAAATAGCTATTTTTTTTTCGAATAAGATAAATATTGTCGCCGGTAGACAGAAAGCCCAATTTGCATATGTCATTGCCCTAAGTCTTAATGTACATCTAAGCTTACTTTATCTATGTTCTTATCGTAAACTTTTCCTAGTCAGTAGTTCGTAATCTTTTTACTAGTAGTCATGGCGTACTGCTAAAGTTTTCGTGACCTACAAAATTTCCACGAAAGGCTGGCCTTTTTCCTATGTTTCATTCATGTGCTCAAGCTATGGAATTCGGCTGCTTTAACTACGCTTATCAGAAATTATTACACTAGAAGTCTGGGATGCACGTTTAAAAGTAACAAGCTTGCTACCGCCACTAGTTTTTACATGTATACATACACACTACGAAGCCTACATGGTAATCTAATTAAAAGCTCTACTACCACCGAGGTGCGCCGAGCTTTATGTTAAGAACAGCCGTTCGCCATTACGACATTAGACGGCTACTCCTATCCCACAATACGGATACTGTATCTACTACCGATCCCAACATATGTATATATATCACATGAGGTCCTGCATAATGCTGGTAGGTAGCCACGTCACCACTGAACAAGCACGCCGACTTCGTCATTATCAACATCCTGTGGTTCGTACTGCAACCAAAGAGGGCAATGGCAGAGGAGGCAGACAAGAGAGGGCGTGAGAATGGGGGCAACAAAAAACGAACAAGTGATTGAGAAAGAAAGACGGCCGAGAGGGCGAGAAACAGAAATCATGGGAAAAAGGAAAAGAAAGGGAAAAAATAAAAAAGAGAGATTTGGGTCAGAAGAAACAGAGTGGAAGAGCTGGATGAAAGGAAGTAAACGGGAAAGCAGGGGGCAAACGGGAGAAAGAAGGAAGAAGCACAGACAGAAGCTGCCGGCGCAGCGAACAGTACGACGTGCATCTACGTTGTGTAGGATTAGACTCCACGAAGCGTTGAAAGTGCGACTACTACTGCCTCGGCCGTTCGCCTTATTCAAGTTGCAAGCAAGCAGTCTCTGCGATTTTGTCAAGGCCCGCAATTTGAATAAATAGACAGTGGCTTGCAATGAGCGGTGTTTTTCCTTAATTAGAAGCTTTTTCGTTCTGTGATATAATTAATTATGCTGCGCATTTAAGATTCTTACCACTCGACTAGGGATCCTTTGATCCGTCAACAGACGGCGTTCATTATACAATTAAGAAAAGGAAAGCAGGGCGAATACTTAGCCCGGGGAGGACCCCGGTATCGCTAACTGGGTTTACTATATCTGAGCCAACATCAACCTTGTCGCTTCTACGTGAGAAGCAAGCACCCAGAGTTGCCAAACAGCTAAAATGTAACAAACTCGTTTAGGACTGGTTCTTGCTAAATCGTCCACGCAAGTTACGAAGCTCTGAACAGCCCAATTGTGTATGGCGATTGCCCAAATGATATATAGCCTTAGCGGTATGTACTGTTTAACACTAACGTACAAGATGTTACGCAACTATGTGAAAGATATTGAAGTTGCCGATCTTAAAAATAACATCTATTTATTGACCAATCGGCAGGAGTAGGTACTATTACGGTATACAGTCTACAGTTTTACCAACCCTGAGGTTCTTACGTTTGATACCTAAGTCATATATCACTTTCTAAAAATAATACCGGCAGGACTTACACTGCTTTTTCCCAATACATTGTGACTTCCCAAATATCTCATAAAAAGGCTAATCCTAATATCATATGTAGATTTGAAAACACTGCCGCCAGGGGGTTATAAGCAACGTTTGATGACTGACTAGTCTAGTTCACGACCAATTGTATTCTTCTCTTTTTTACTAACTGATTAATAAGGATTAACTAATTAACTGATAAGGATCGATTAATTACAATTAGAACTGACTATGATTTACAAGGTATGTTTGTCCGCAGTTCAGTTATCCTTGAGTGCTAAACTTGAGTCAGTCAATAGATTGGATCTCGTCCTACAGCACACTGACACTGTATGATAGCACAAAAATGTTTGCTGTTAGCTAGGTACTGCAGTGAAGTCTACAGGAAGTGTCGACCGCTGAGTATATTTGTTACATCGGTACTAAGGGCAAGCTCATCAAGGCATCAGTAAAAGCATGAAAAGGACATTTGTTTACGCCAGTACATAACGCGCTTAACCATGCTGAAGAGATCAACTATGGCACAAAGATAAATTACTTACCTGTCTACGAACAATTCCAGGTCTCTCCTGCTCTCTTTCCGTTTGATCTTCTCATTTAACAAGTATATCTAGGGCTACCTAATCCCGTTAAATATTTTTCGCATGGAACGTTTGTGCAGTTCTCCAATGTTTTTGCCTCTTCCTTCGCTTAGTTTAATCGCCCCGAAGTAAAGTCATAATAATAAGATTGATGCAGCGCTTTAGCATGCGATGGATAACGTTCAGCTTTACCGATCCTCGGCCCTTACCCACAGCCACTATCAAAGGCCATTTAGCCAGTTAACCCCCTCTTATTTCTCTACGGACCCACTGTGTCTCTTTTTCTATATCAGGCCTCCACTGTCCTGTCCTCTGATAATACGTTTTTGCCTGCTGCATGTATCTCGCTCCTGTAGCCTCTTTCTGTCTCTTCTTCCTTGCTTGGCCTTAGGATAGCACGCAAGTTATCCTATTTCACCCCGCGGCCGGCCTGTGTTCGTGTCTGAGCCGTTCTCTGCTGGTACCAACTGCGACAAGTCTCGTTAATTCTCGATCTTTGCATCTCCCACTCATTCTTTTTTCTAAATGCTCGCATAAACGATGTCCTTCTACAAGTAATGCCTGTGTCACGGAAATCCATTCACTAGATCGAAATTTTATCATAAAATTTACAATTTCGCGCTTCATTGTTCGGAACACTTAGGCACATCTTTTTGCGGTACTTCTATATTCTTTCGACAACCCTGAACAGCAGAGAGCACCACATACGATGACATCAGAGAGCTGCCCGATCAGAGCTGTACGTATGTGATTCACAGTTAGTTTCAATGCCTAGGTCAAGCGTGGCAACAAATTTAAGTTATGCAGACGCCACATAAATTAGGTGCGATCTCCTCTCGTTACCAAGAATTCGGCAGTGTCCCTTGCCACAGAGATCGCTACGGCATAACTGCCTTATGGTTCGCCCTTCATATTCTCCTTTTCTCCCTCGTGGCACTACTTCTTTGTCATCTGCTCCTTTTTTTCGAGAAATGAAATTTAGATCCGCCGATCGTTGCTGTATGATCCCTCGAATTAGGACCAGAGTTTGGTGGTAAACTTAATTTCGATAATAACATGTAATATCCTGATGTACATACTTCAAACGCATCACCCTTCTCACATCAATCATAACGGTTTTTTCATTAAAAAAAATTAGCAATACGGCTATGAGAGTAAGTTATTTCTCGTTGTTTTTAGTGTCATCCAGTATTATTAGGATGAGCTATGGGGCAGGCATGAAAGTACTTTACACGTGTTTGTGTATAGGCAGACAGATTTTAATGTCATGGCGGATAGAACGTTGACAGTAAGCGAAAACCGGAACCTCGGGGTTCGGTAAACAAACTACATTGTGAAACTATCTTGTAATATTGGCTGCTGCTTTTCTTGCCTAAATGATCTCTGGCGAATTCGCTACTTTCAGCTGTACGTCCCCAAGGAATTTTTATCAAGATGATAATTAGTCAGTATTGAGGGGAACAATCGTCTTCATGTGCTGAACAAGCGAATTGTGTAGCAATATTTCTACAGAGACCCACTAAATATGGGTAATACGAAGTACCAATGTGAGTGACGCCCGGGCGTTCTGGGTCCACGTTCCATATGCAGAACAGCGTTGACTTTATCTGCAACATCAGGATTGGCTTTCATGCCGGTGGGTTTTAATGAGTTTACATGACTAACATCAACAATTGCGTTTGACTGGTAATGGAACAGCGAGGCACATTTAGCTTTGATTAAGAATAAAAATCCAAAACGAAATTCATTAGAGGAAGTAACGTGTCGCTCCGCTGATTCTGCACTTACTCTCTTATTTTTCTTCGTGTTTCTTCATTTTCATCAGAACCAACCATCCAGCTCCGCAACAACTGACTCTGCGACCACCCCACCGCTATGCGCCTCATGAAGATATGGTGCATCCGTGGTTTCATTCAACATCCCGGAAGCTTTCTCTAAAGATTTCATGCAAAATTAAGTTGAGAAACTGCCTATTATTTACTAATTGGTATTTTTGTTTTATCAGTGAAAATAAAAAGCCTGTAGGTTTAATGTAATGCTAACTTTTTACTTTCTTAATAAGGATAGGAAATTGAAGGTGTAGCATTCGTTCAGCTGGTGACGCAGAAAGGTCACCAGACACCCTAGACTAGGTCGTCCATAGCAAAATCGATTGAACTACTTCATCGACACCCCGAAAATTTAAAAAAGAATTACTGCTCCGAGCCAACTTGTCGATATTTCATTTCTTCCTTCTTGAAAAAAGTGAGCAACCTCCAGATTTGTAACAGACGCCATGAAAGAATCAGCAAAATGGGGAATCTATCAAAGTGACACGTCCCAAAGTGAGTATCGTACACCGAGAGACCTTCTTTCGTGTTGATAGCAATATATGAACCTTGTTACTTGAAACTGGATAAATCCTATTGAAAATAATAGCGTTTGCGTTTTTTTACGCTTTGTTACTAACCGACCACATCGAAAGCTCGTATCTTTAATGCAAGCATCATAGCTCCGGTATATCCCGTCACGGGAACTCTTGAGCACTTATTGTAACTTTTCTTATTCCCGCCCTGCGACGGTAAATATAAACTAAATAGCTAAGTTGTTTTATTGAAGTTCTGTAAATTCGCTTTTTAACATCCGGTAACTGGACATGTTATGATCAACTTACAAAGCCATTTTTTAGACGACTTGCCATCACTAGTCATTTTAAAATTTTGACATATTACTATCGGCAATAAAATGACATATTTACCATACGTTGAAGGATGGTTTCAATTAATACATTTAACTGGTAAAAAAAATGAATCAGCAATCGATAAGTGTCCTACTTCGTACTGTCATCATCATTATCATTGTCATTACTACATTATTAATACTACCAAGTTTGAGTATAGAAACGTAATATCACCAAGATACCATCGAGAACATGTTTACCGGAAGAGGGGAGAAGTCGTTTCTGCATCTTACCTGATGACGCACAGAGTGAGGTGCTAATCGCTTCAAGCGATTTTATACGTTTTATCGCATTTTATGGCTATAATAGAGGCGCGCCGGCGGCCTGGCGCCGCACTACCTGCTGCTGCAGCCTCACAGCATCAGCAAAAAAGAGGGACGGACCTAATCCATTTAGAACGACTGTAGGAACAACAACTAGGTCTAAAGGTGAGCTCAACGCGTTACTGAACGTGACTAATTTATGATTTCCTTTGTTAAATCAACTAGCCATGAGTTGCACCTGCGATTTAACTACTTGTTGGAGATATGTATAGCTAAGATTCTTGTGGAATCACACAAAGCATTCCGGAACTATTCATTGTGGAGTCGATTTCGGTCTTTATGATCCGTCAGTTTTCGCTATATCCACCCTATACAATGCCTGTGCTATCTATTTATTATTCTTCTTTACTTTATTGTTAAAGGTTATATTAAGGAATAAAGGTTATATTAAGGAAAGTGCATCTTCAATTGGCGAAATTTTTTTCCCTATTAACACTTATGCTTTTCATGTATTCCAAAGTGTTCACATAATTTAGTGCGTGAGAGTCACAGTTGAGTAGATGAACGTGTTTTCAGGGATCCGCTACGAGCAGCGTATCTTTAGACAGTCTTTCACGACCCAGCACGCGCTTTACGCGATAAATCTTAACTAGTAATAGGGGAACCAGCAGAAACTTTCAAGTAGAGAAAAGTACACTTGCCTAGCAGGAAGGTCCTGTATGTATGTATTAGGTATATGAACATTTATACGTTATACGGGAAAGTTACGGCGAAAGGGAGTTGCCTTTTATAGAGATTCTCTATTGTGACTTTATATCTAATATAAACATACATAAAATCTAACATAACCGTAAGCCAGATACATTGAGATAAGATTACTGTATGAATGCCGCAATGTGCTAAAACGTACCAATTGCAAAACAGGTGGTAAACGAAAAATCTCAAAGAGATTGCTTCCAGTAGATCAAATCACCAGGGCCGTTGACGATTCTTGAAATGAAGAGAAATAGGCATACATTTCAGTTTTAAACTGGTCGTCCGAAAGAAAAGACGGGGGTAACGGGAGCTCATGAGATGAAGGACTAGGAAGATAATTAAGAGAATGAAATCGTCAAAAGGGACGATATAGCAGACGATAAGAAATACGCACAGTTATATTGAAAAGCTGATTATTGCTGATAGGCTGACATTGTAAAACCTGTTATTTACTCATTTCAATTAAGGAAGAGACTATGCGGTGATATTGATGAACACACATTTCACACTGCGTTTGACATCGACAAACAGCAAGATCGAATTTACGGGAATTTATAGATTTTGCTCTATTTGGCAGTCTTTCAACTATGAGATTGTGCCATTTCAGATGTTAGCAGGAGGGGCGGTGTATACACCGAAAGATTACGATGGCATCTCGGTTTGATGGGACCCAAAGAGCTCACTGTCAAACTTTTTTCTTTTTTTTAAATATTTCAGGTGAGCAAGATGCGTTTATTGCAATTGATGTGAGACATGACAATGACCTTGTAAAATTCTACTATGCTTGTCCTTTATTAGAATCGTAAACATTGGATTGATGAGAATTCGCTGCCGGCAGCTCACTGACGGCTTATTATAATCTCAGAGACAAAAAGAGCTATCGACAGTTGAATTTACTGGAATTGTCGTAGTTTGTCTGCCTCGATTTGCCTACGATGCCAATGATACTAATTCAACTCAAAATTTGATTACTCTTGCATGACCTGGGAAAGGTCTAACGGATTTTCTGTTAACTCATACTCATAGATGCGCATCTTCACATGAAGTACCCATGCCAGAACGCCTTAACATGACCAAACGCATTGTACGCACCCGTCAGCTTTCAAAGGTACTCAGACGACGCACGTACCACAGTTCTAATCCAAGGAAGATATAGGAGTCATTGACGACTACCATTTCTAATTCATTTTTCACTTTAGTTTCAATCAAGTAGTACTTCGATCGTATATTCATATATTATATTTACTAAATTAATTTTAGAGATCCGCCTTGGTAAATGACCATCAGATTACATAGGTTAGTTAACATTTACGCGTAAGTGTAATTTTATAGGGTGCTACAAATACAAAAAGGGTGTATTAGACTTCACCCTCACTTTTACAATGCGCTTCAGTAAGTGTGCCAACTAGACCTGTTGATTGATATATGGCCACGATATGCCAAAGCGAATTCGTACTATACTATTACAACTCCCAATAGGCGTCCAAAAATAGCTGCTCTATTAATGAAACGGCTCCTATTCGTAACAGGAAAAGATTTTAATTCATGTAGAAAAAAAAAACTAGTTTGCGTATCCACTCTCATTCTCTAGATCCTTCTCTCATCTCTATACTAATTCGCTCGTTCGTCTTCACCAGCAGTTTCCTGCCTTGTGCCTAAGACCTTATTAGGACAAGCCGTAACAGATTATTTTCAAATCAGCTTGGGTGAAAAATAAGCATCTGTTTTGTTAGTGAATCGAAGGCGCGAAGTATGAACATGATTTGTACTTACGCTATTGCAAGACTGTTAATTAGAATTATTAATGATGAGTTTGCTTTTTATATGACAAATTGACTAGGTGTACATTGATGTCGATATTAGTCTCAAATCGGCGACATACAGATTCGTAGAAAAACGTATGTACTCTTATGCGATGCGTGAAGAGAAAACCGTAAAATTATTGATGGGAATATAATAGGTAAGATAATAAATTGCACTGATCTCAGGTTATTTCTCCCCGGGGGTATTCAAAAGCCCAGTTAGAATAAAGTTATGACAAAAAGCTTTCCCGTCTAAATGAAAAATGCCTCGATACAGAAAGGTTGGACGAAAAGGCCCCATAGAAAAACCTGCCGGATTCCCGGCATCAACACCAATAAACTATAGCCAATATTTTCTAGGAATACCTTACAAGATAAATCAGCAACACTAAAAGATTTACAAAGACTAACCCACAGTGACAGGTTAAATGTTTGTAGTTTTTGACAATCAATAGCCCATCGATATCAACGCTATATATATATACGGAATATAACGCTAACGATTTTGCACACCTGTGACAGAAAGAAGAGCTATTATAAATATAATCGTTCAGCACCCTGTATATATAACAAAATGTATTGAACGAAATAAAGTATAATTAATCAAACCTGAAGAAAATCATTAGGATAAATTAATGTAAGTAGTTAATTAAAACGGCATGAGCGGCTATGAGTAAGACTTCCCTGCGAGCTTTCCCCACGTTAAAAACACGAGGATATCGCTGAATTTATCTTCTCATCTCTTCCCGCTACTTACACACGCTGCATATTTTGTTTCACTATCGAGTTCACACACAGACGTTTTAGTTTAGCATGACCAGCACTCGCAATGTTGATGTGACATCACTCATGACTGTCAATCATCTCATCAATCAGCTCTGTAATCCGTTGTAATGCTCTCTCTGATGTCCGAGTACCCTTGTCGGTTTTGGAGCTGTGGATCAATGCGTAATTATCGCCTAGCTCTAGGCATACACGCTATATATATATATGTTACACTGGAACATAATTCGATGAATCGCTTAGGGCGCTCAATGGGGCTGAGATACCGAGGCGCGTGCGTCTGATCCATAGTCGCCACAAACTAGGTGCGGCTGAGAACACGTCCTAATTCTTGTCATTTTTTAGCGTCGAGATGTAGATCTGGCGTCAACTTTTGTATGCACTCTTATTTAAACATAAAGATGTCACCATACTCATCCAATTTTCTTAATTTGATCAAATTATGAAAACTAGGAGGGATTCTACATTGTAAAATATCTTTTAAAAGGATTATAGACTTTGTATCTCCCGATGTTACAGAAGTGACTTAAACCCGGATAACACCTAATAAATTACTAGGAATACACTTATTTGCAGTAGCCGCTAGGTATACTTAGAAATTCAGACGTTACCAACATTTGGTACACAACAATTGACATTTCCCTGAAACCTACTCTTGTTGTCATCTAAAATATGGCTAGTTCTAATAGGTAACCACGTTACCGTTGGAGCACCACGTGGATCCCGCTCGTTGTTTTAAGTGATTTTGGAAATGAGCCGTTGACTGTCTCGTATTTTCTAATATCACCATGTTTCTCGATAAAAATGGCCAAATCGAGTATTTGTTCTAAAGCACACATGGACGTTATCATTTGTTGCTATCAGTCAAATAACAAGAACAATGCCTCGTCTTATCGGCAAAGCTGTAGCCAGATTGTGGCTTGATCTATAGTAGTGCTATACCGGTCTAGTACCAACAATCACAAAGCTGCACAAACTTAGTACAACGCTGCTTGCATAACCATGAAGTAGATAATAGGAACAATTATAATATGGCAGTAAGTGTACCTCGATAGAAACAAGCTAGCAAGACGAAACAGTCGGTGATGTTGCTCATACACGTGTGAGCCCATAAACATCCCCTAAGCACACGATAACACAATAGGCTTTCGTCATAGTGGACATTCACATACACACCGATTAGGTTGGAAGAACACGACGTTTAGCTTGTATAAGCGAAGCTTGGTAACACTAACTCAAATTTTCGAAGCCAACGATTGTTTATTTTCGCCGCTTTTTCATTTGAATCGTCGGAACGACTAATGTTTCTTTAACCTAAGTTCCTTTCGACGCGTTATTCTAAACGCTATGTGGATTTCATCGAGTCTAACGACGACCATCGACGATTAGTAAAACTGGCGGGAAATTCAAATGTTGACTATGTCTTGTGGATGGTTGACCAAATATAAAGAGAAATAGATAGTGACGCTTTTACTGAATGATATGTACCAAGTATTCTAATCCCCATAGTAAGACGACCGAGAGAAACGGTGTTGCATAGAACAGTTTACAAGAATAGAAGGATTATGATAGGCGAGTCTCGAAAAAGTACAAGCTGATAGCTTGTTGGAGGTGTTTCATAGGTGATGCATGCATATAGAAGTTACAGCAGCGACAATATTAATAATGTCAATAAGAGCAACGAATACAACCTAAACTGGGTTATCTGCTTCCTGTCTGGTAGAATTTCAACAAGTATCCATGAACATATATAATACATTCATATATATATATAACATAGGTAGGTGAACGTGCTCGTATATACCTATAAAATACGTAGATGAATGCGGCCCTTTAACTTGTTCCTCGGCAGCGCTATGGTTTAACTAGCGTATGCATAGCCTAAAGCATGCGATACCTGATTTTTAAAATACTGTTTCCTCCTGACATGGGGAACTTGTTAAATCGCATCATTATGACTACCTGTTTTCTTTCAATTTACGGAGGAGGGCCTGAATATATTCCGGTGATTTTCTATTGTTCTTAATTGCAGATTTCCTTCTAATAGGAAGCTTGAAGTAGCGGAAAACTCTGGCTCTTTTGTTTAAGGCCGAAACTTCTCCGTACCTATGTTCCTGCTAAAACGTCACTTCCTGTAACGTGGCGCTATGTGGGCAATGACCGCTACGTAGAAAACAGTTACATAATTCTTTGTAGAATGTCGGGCCATATATAAAGACTTGCTCGGCGACGTAAGCATTGATAACCTTATTGTTTACACTGCTATGGATATATGGAGCTATATGTGAATATTGTTGAACATTGAACCATCTCAGACCCTTTTATATACAGCAATAGCGTCACAGTAATACGTTCGCCGTAGCCTGACAATTACCATACGATTATGGTAATCGTTCGAATTAACGTCTTTTGGTAATTAATTAAGGGCCTTTACCTAAAATCGACTAGCTATAGATACACATGTGCTATGACAATAGTTTTTATAAGCTACTTTGTAAGAACGAACCCGATAATTGCATTTCCAAATAAAACATTTCATTTTTGGTCGAGAAGATATTGTCTAAAAGAAAGATGTATTTAATATTTCGTGCTAAGTTATACGGGCGGACGCAGAACCATTTATTCCCATTGGAAAATCACACACCCGAATTCTCGCCCATACCCCTCGCTTCGATAGGTGGTGGGATACCAACTGATCGAAAGTTTTGTTGGCAGCTGACGCTGACCAACCGTGAGAAATCCGATTGGAGATCTTAACGCCCGGAATGGGAAAGCGCGGCTCCGCTTAATGTAGTTTGACTTTCTTATGCTTTTGATAGGATAGCAACGATGCCACGTTCCTGAATCGTGGTCACAACTGGTATAGACTTGCCCATTGATGCGTCTACTCAATCCATATTTAGCGTCGCGAGTCGTTGTAGCGCACCATATAGGCGTAATTAAGCGTCAGCATCTTCAGGCGCGTCTGTAGACCCGCAATACCGAGAAAACATAATACGTGGCTAAAAAAGCCCTCTGTCAAATTCAATAAAAAATATTTCGACTACTTATAATGTCTCTAGAGTGTCTCTATGTCATAGTCTTTCAATCTGCGATAGACTTACACAAAAAGAAGCTAACTAAAACCGACAAAGCTGCCAAGCAAGCCCTATATAAGAATATATAGAATATATATAGAGAATAAAATTCGACCCCATCGTAGCGTAACATTTGCTGTGGCTTTTATACTATATGAGCCTGTTGCAACCCGTCGGGAAGCCGCAGGGGCTGATCGCCCATCGAGACCGTACCTGGGGTGTTCATACGGTTTTCTTGAGCAGATGCTCAAACTCGTTCCGCAAAGGTCTCATCGGACGAATTCGGTTATGCTCACTCAACCTTTGTAGTTCGGGTAATAATTTTTCGGATGTGCTCGTGATGGCTTGGTAGAGAACTTTTGTCAACTTCATCACTTCCAGTGAATTGGACGGCTAGCCGACTACTTAGCAAGACTTGACGCCCAAGCATCACACTTGTTGACATTTAGTAGTGCCCGTATTGCGTACAGCGGTAACAAACAACATCGACTCAGTTCAGGCTAGATCTGTATACTGGAGGCCGATTCCCTTCGATATCGTCAAATCGCTTGGGGTTAAAGATGCCATATGTAATTGGGTGCGCGCCACGACGAAATGGTCTCAAACAGAAAAACAACGTAATCGCAATCAAAATCTAATTTATCAATCCAGACCCATTCAGTCTTGATGAAAGCCGTGAAGAACTCTCCTTGTACTTTCATACGTTTGAATAACTTCTCGAGAGGGCCAATCTCGTCCCAGATGGAGCGCTCCTCGGTCATAATCTCCAGGTCTTACTATACAAGAGTGTTGCCAGGTAGACACTGCTGCACCCACCGTATGGCTTCAGAGCATTAGTGGGCCATTGCTGGCCCGCCGCCAGACGTGTTAGCCACTTAAACAACAGCCTACCGACAAGGTCAAGGGCTCCTGCTTCCACAGCCTGCTGCGAACCCTTTACGAAGTGTCGAACCAGAATAGTTAATTCTGGCACCTTTTGCGACCCAACAGCCGCTAAGAATATTACAGCGACCAGGCTCAACGACTGGCGATTAACCGACTAGTTGAAGAACAATATACATCTACCCTCGGCCGAAACGGTAAATTAATGAAGTGTAAGAATACATATTTTTTATAGTAGTATTTAACGGTTCAAATACCGGACGTAAACTCCGAAAAGCATTAATATAAGCTTCATTTTAATATTTATGATATTTTTCTCATTTAACCCATATTATATATTATTGTTTATGCCTTCTTACATGTACAGAAAATCTGTTTTTTACGATGTTCTACTAGGGTAATGCAATCAGACTTGTACGATAGCAGAAAGCCATGAAAAGATCTTTTCGGATAGTAATCACTAGACCGCTGTGTAGATCGCCGCATGAAAGCAAAGCCTGTTTCTTCTTACTTTTAAACTGTATTACAGGGCAAGGTGTGTCGCTATAGCTATGGGTCGTTTGTGTAGTTATAAACGTAAAGATCTTAGAAAAGCCATCCACTAACTCACTAGATATGGACGAATATTTTCAATAAGAAAGCACTAAATCGGAGACAAATATATGCATACTTGTACAGCATCACGTCTGACGGCGTTTTACTCTATTTAAACAAAAACGTTCGAACGCAAGGCGAACGAATTGAGTTCTATGAAAGCCTATTTCTCCTATGCTTTTTTAATCTCTCCCCACATCTCTCGTTCTCTCTCTAAAAGTCACTTGACCCTGCCATTACCGTGGCGGCCGTCACACAAAATAAAGCTATAAACTCAAGGTCAACAACTCCGATACTTTTCCTTTTCACTCCGCTATTTACTGCAAAAATAGTCAGCAACAGTGTGCAGCGGCAATAGTGTGCCACCACTCTGGGGAAGTGTATGAAAAAATAGACTACGGTCCGATCCGTAATGTCAGTGACCAGGTTAAATCATTTTTGGCCCGTTGTTGTCGCATAAAATCGCACTTGTTGCCTGCACGACGACCACCTTTGCCGTATGAAAATGTACTTTGAACGTTGCATAAAGTAAAAGTACAGCTGCTATCATTTTTATATTTTAATTTTTAATTTGTAAATTTAGGAACCTAGAGAACAGGCATTTTATGCCAATTTATATAAACTTCGTAGAGAAGTTCCTACTTTTTCATATTTTCTATGAAATTGAATTTAAATAACACGCAGCTCCAGGAAGCGAGGAAACTACGACAGTAAATCAGAGTAAAAATAATATTCTAACAAAAAATATGTCTTTCCACTCATAAAAGCTTCATTTCAGTATTACGTTGCCTTGCCACTTACAGCATGCATTGATGAACTATTTGTTACTCGAAGTTCTTTATTTGCGGAGCTTTATAGTGGCTCAATGATTTTCGTTGAAAGAATCGTATTCAATACATCCAATTTACGCCAGATGTACTTTTTCGAATTTATGTGAATCTCCCTTCCCCTTCCTCTCCTACCGCACAAACGGTCGATCCTTCGAAAACATCGTTCGTGCTTTTTGTGTGAATTGTTCAAGTGGATTTAGTTGGATGATATCTGTATTGACTTCAATCACCGCTCTCCCAGCCGCCGGTGCCCTCTCAAACCTTCACAGAGTTGCCGAACGTACTTGGTAAACTGGACACGTCGTAGAGAGTGAGGTCGCATCAGTCGCCGTTTTGCCTCCACCCTTTCGCTAGGGAAGTGCAGCAAAGGATTGTATTTGCCCGCACCTGCGCGTACGTCTACGTCGATCCAACAAAGCCGTCCTGTTGCACCTGTTACCTGTCAATTACAAACGATCATATTTTCAGTTTACTTGCATATAAAATGATGGTAGACAATAGTTACTGGTTCTACATAGATACGCTTGAAGTTTTCTTATCCCGTACATAGCTTCAGTATTTAGTTAATATTTATACGTGTATGAGGTCGGCCACCATCAAAACCCGAGGGTATAAGTTTTTAAGTAATCAAGTACTGCCCCTTTTTAATTTATAATGCAATATAGCAGTTCAACAAAATAAAGGTGAAACTAACATATTAACAAACGTGCTAATGTTAATATTATTGAATTTAGTTTTAAATCACTGAAACATTTATTCGTGAAGTCTCAAATAGCCTCACGCAGGCTCTGTTTTTACGTGCTGTGGTAAACAAACAAATATTTCATTATTTCCGTTGCCTCTGAGCTTGGACGCGGAAAGTCATAATTGCAGCAGAAGCAGTAGCACCATGTACCGTCAGCTCACGGAAATTTCAAAAATCTGAACGGGCAGAACCTCCT